GAGTGCTTGTTTTGAAGAGTAAGGGAAGGGAGAAGGGATTTAAGTTTTTTTATTTAAACCTTACACATCGCCAAGGTCTCATACAATGCGAGGACGCCGGACAAGAGAATGAAAGTTCACGTGATAGGGGCTCACCATGCCCCTTATGCCACTGTTTCTTATGTTTAGGTTAGGCATTTTCTCATTCAAGGTTCTCGTGACATGAGAGACCCTAACGAGCTGAAGGTTGGGTAGTTTTTTAGCTTTGCAGAATTGGCCACTTTTGTCCATTTCCATGTTTCCTTTACCTCAAACCTTATATGTTTACACTGTTTCACACCTGCACAACTCGAAAACACGTCCTCGCTTAGTTGCATGCAAATATGGCCTTTGAATTTTGACGATTAAAGTCACCACCGCGCTAATGCTTTTCTCTTTTCTTGTTTACCAAAAGTGTCTTTCTTTTTTTCAAAGTGTGCAGCTCAACTTTGCAATGAGGAGTGAATCTAACCATGTTAAATGGACCCGACCAATGCGATTTGAGCTTATGCGAACATAATCTCAACCTTGAATTGAACTAAATCAATTGACCTGGTTCAAACTCACGATGTTGAATATTATTGTGTTAATATCTATTGGTTCTTTTTATACAACTTATTGTTCTCATAGGCACAAAACCTAAATTCATCAAGCTAGTTTAGTTGCAACATTCTTTTCTCAGCTACTAACCGTGGGCCAAAATTCAACTTCTTGATTGCATAATAGGCCATGTGCTCAAGTTTCACTACCAAGTGGCACGACTTTCCAAAATCCAACTTGTATAGAGAGCCCCTATAGGAGTTTTGTAAGTATTTTGGTATGCCCATAGAGCATCATCAAGCTTCGCGGCCCAATTCTTTCTACTCACACTTACTATTTTTTTAAAAATCTGCTTTATCTCTCTGTTTGACACCTTGACTAAACTGCTAGTCTGAAGATGATAGGTAGTAGCAACCTTGTCTTGAATATATATTTTGGTAAGAGATTATCTAGCAGTTTATTACAAAAGTGAGTGCCCCATAACTTATTAATACCTGATGGGTCCCGAACATTGTAAAAATAATCTTCTTCACAAAGCTCACCATGACTTTTGCATTATTAGTAGGAAAAGCAACGGACTCCGCCCACTTAGACATAGAGTCGACGTCCACCGATATGTATTTGTTACCATTGGAGTACGGGAAGGGTCCTATGAAGTCAAACTCCTATGCATCGAAATCTCTATCTCGAGAATGCCTTGGAGTGGCATCTCTTGCCTCCTTTTAATCGTTTTAGTTCTTTGGCATCTATCACATTTCTTCATGAACCCATTTACATCTTTGAACAACTTAGGTTGTAGAAACCTGATTGTAGTACCTTTGAAACAACTCTATCAGCTCCATGATGCCCATCACAGGTTGATACATGGTAGTCATGTAGGATCTCTTGCATCTCCTTCTGTAGCACACGCCTTCTCACCAACTAATTTGTATACTGCTTGAGAAAATAAATCTCATCCTTGTGATAACTCGATAGGTCATTTCAATTTTGTCCTTTATTTTTGTGTTTCGAGACCTTGATTATCTCCGTTTAGTCTTCCTCGATTGCATGCACAGTCCGTGTCTTGTTCCAGAAGTTTTTATATGAAAAATCTAAGAAGATGTGAAATTTTGCCTTAAAACTCATTTGAGTTGACTACGGTCAGTATTTTCTATAAACAGACCCAAACCTGTGTTTTGACATTCCTGGTGGGTCTGTATCATGATTTGGGACTTGGGCGTATGCTCGGAATCGAATTAGGAAGTCCCTAACTTGATTTAACGTAGTTTGTTGAAAACTAGTAATTCTGAGTGGTTGGTGTAAATGATGTCTTTTGTTCCCACTAGGTATCTTTGAAATTTGTCAAACACCCAAACAACTGCAAACAACTTTGTTTCAGTGATTGCGTAGTTCACCTGAGCAAGAGTGAGTGTTTTGTTTGCATAATGGATGAAGTGGAACACCTAGCTTCTCCTATAACTTAGACGACTCAAATTGCATTATCACTTACATCACACATTAGCTTAAATAACTCATTTCAGTCCAGAACCCCTATAATTGGTGCACTTACCAACTTCTGCTTCAACTCCTTTAATACTTTCAGAAAAGCATCATCAAAGTTGAAAGACACATCTGAAAGTACAAGAGGGGGAGGGGGTGAATTGTGAATACTTAAAATTAATTGCTTATAAGTTGACTTATAACTTGAGTAGTCGACTGAATATGATAATTTAGCAGATATGGTAATGGAAGGTAAAATGCAGAAAATAATTGCAAGAATTAAAAACACCGGGATTTTTATACGGGTTCGGATTCAATGTGAATCCTAATCTAGTCCCCTTGGGTTGCAAGGGAGTTCTCTTTAGTAAATGAGTTTCCTTTGAGTACAGATGTGGTGTATATCGCTCAGTTTCTCTAGTACTCATTTTTGATACAATGCCTCACCAGTTGTGTGCTCTCTTTCTATCCCCGACTTGTTACACAACAGATCTTAGTGAACTACAATGCTTGTTTGCAGTAGAATGAAGAGAGTGATTTGGTTTGATCAAAGTATGACTAAGCTAGGGTTTACAAGGGTGTATAAATACTTTGATGGATGGCAGAGGCTTGACAACCCAAGAGATTTGATCCATGGAAAGAATTGATTCTTTCCAAGAATAACGAATGAGTCGTTGCTTCTCTTGATTGCTTTCAGAGGATTGCTTCACTTGATTTCTTCTTGATTGTTGGATCTTCCAAATGTGGTCACTTCCCAGATCTCTTCGTATCCTTTAGTCTTCCGTGATTCTGCCCATGATTCGTGCCTTTATACAAGGTGTATTTGATTTTTTCCAGCTCAGCTAATCATTGTTATCGCTGATTGATTCGTTGATTAGATTGCGCCCAGATTTACAAGACCAATCCGGATTTGCTGATCATATGCTGATTAATTTCTTTTCTTGTACATCATGAACCATTCCAGCAGTTTTCTTTACTTCTTGAACTTGATTTCCTACACATATATATTATTTGCATCATTAAAACATGATCTAACAACATCCTTCTCAAGAAACCTGAAGAAAGGAGATGAACTTTTAGAAAATTAATAAATGAAGTGAAGGTAGAAACATGCTTGTTCCAAGAAACTACAGACTCCTTTCATAGACCTCAGTTGGGGCAACTTCTCAGTTGCTTCCACCTTGGCCTTGTGAACTTCTAGTCCATTTTTGGGTGATGAGAACGTGGAAGTTGTTGGTTGAGTCGTATTCAAATGTCGTTATTGAAATTAGATTGATTCCCACCTTGCTTGGTATTGTATTGTTGTAATTGCTTGGTGAGAAAGAGTGAAAAACACAAAGGATATTGTCGTTCATTGTTTTAATATTGAAATCTTTGTTTGAGTGAACATGAATTTAAAGTACGAAGGGTGATGTCGTGCAATTGCTTGCTATTATCATAATCATATGAGGATGAGAGTAAAAGAACGAAGTGTGATGCCGTGCACATTCTTTATTCATATTATATGGTGAGGATGAGAGCAAAATCACGAATGGTGATGCCGTGCAATTTGTAGACTTAATTGTTTTTCTTGATGCTTGGATTGTGAATTTAACTTGGCAGTTTCGTTGCTTAGTTCGGAAAGAGACTTACTTGGTGATACTTAGCTTATTGTGCCGATTATTGCCCCTTTTATATGTCCCCACCCTATTACTTCTTTCTTAGTAAGCAATGTTAGATGCCATCACGATCTCATGATTAAGATTTCGGTCATGACATTCAAATAGTTGCCCCGCTTGCTGAATGGAGAAATCCATACCAATTGCTGTAAAAATCTCGCTATAGAAGCTTCGGATGCTAAGAAAAGCCGTTTGTTTTGGGGATGATGCTACACGTACTTTACTACTCGTCATTCCTAAAGTAAATAAGGTGGATGAAAGAAATAAGTTGTATTCCCTCCGTTCATTTTTACTTGGCATGTATATTAAAAATAGATTTTTATTTTTACTTGTCACTTTACGTATATTAACAGAACAAAAAAAATTCCTGTTATACCCACAATATTTATTACTCATTTCAAATTATTTTTTCAAATCCAATAAAATATACATCAATTAATATGGGTATCATGGTAAATTATGTACTTTATTTATTATTTCTTAAGGGGCATGAAAAGTATAAACGTGCCAAGTAAAAGTGAACGGAGGAAGTAGTTTGATTATTTATTTCTTTGTAGTACTTCCACTGTTCGCTTTTACTTGTCCAATATTCTAAAAAAAAAAAATTCACTTTTAGTTGTCCCTTTTAGTATACTAAGAAAAGACAATTTCTTTTTTTCCTGTTATACCCACAATATTAATTACTCATTTCAAATTATTTTTCTCAAATCTATTAAAAATATGTATATATTAATATGTGTATCATGGTAAATTATGCACTTCATTTATTATTTCTTAATGATGTGCAAAGTTTAAAATGAACAAGTAAAAGTGAACAGAGGAAGTATAATTTATGCAAGGTCTTGCATTATTCAAGAATGATTCTTTTGCCCGTTATAGATGAACAATTATTAGTATGATTATGCATTTTATGTGAATTTTTCCTAACCTCTAATTCATTAATTTGATCCTAGATTGCAGTATAATTCTGTACATGGACATAATATGTTTACTCTCATTTTCTTATACACTGGCCACATGCTCTTTGCACTCAGTTGGACCGTCCTACGTAAAATAAAATATTACTCAGTTGATTATTTTTATTATATTATTATTTGTCGCAGTTAATTGTGATAATGAAATATGAATTAATTAGTAGTCTCATTGTTTTGAAAGCATGTGGTTTTGTTTGTGTCAAATCTAGCACGTGTGAGCACCTAATTTTTGATTATATTTGAGTTTTTCATCACTTTTAGTAGGTAA